CTATCAGGAGATACTTGAGATACTTACTAGTTTCAAGAAATGTTGAAAAGTGGGAGGGGGCATTTTTGTAAAAATATGAAAAATGATTCCAAAGTCTTGGTGGGCAGCATCAATAGCAAAGTAGCTCAGGGGAGGCATCAGAAAGGAAAATGTAATGGCCTTGTCACCCATACCACACTTCACTGTGATTTCTCTAAAATCCAAATCTGACCACAAAACCCCGCTTGAAATCCTTGGTGGTTCCTCACCTTCTATGGGACTAGGCCTAAACTCCCCAGCAAGGCATACAGGCCTTTCCATGGACGGATGCCTCACCTACCTGCCGCTCCAACCTCTCCTTTCCCACCCGCCCACCTCAGCCACACAGACCACTTGCCAATTCTCTAAACACATCTTTACACCTTTGCACATGCTATTCTCTCTCCCTGGAATGTTCTTTCCCTACTTGTTCACTCAGGAAACCCTGATTCTGTACATCCTCTCTGCACAGCTCCCCATGACACCACTACCACCCCACCCCACCCTGAGCCCCCTGGCCACAGCACATTGAGTTTCTTCATCCTCTGGTGTCCTAGTTCCCTTTGTACATCCTTCTTTGTACATTGTCATTTTAGCTCATGACAATGTAATTATTGGTTAATTGCTTTGTCTTCCCAACTAGAGTATGAGATCTTAAAGGGAAAAGTCTTGAGGTTGGAGCTTTTTAAATCCCTGATGCCTAGTGGCATTCCTGGACGACAGTAAGTATTTAGTAAATGTTTGATAAATGAATATACGCATGCTGAGCCTTGCCAGAAAATATGAAAAACAGAGTGTGATTATACTAATACTCCTCTAGAGGGTGGGATGTAAAACTTATGCCTCTACCATGGTATTTCAGGCTCATTCACAATCAGATTAATATAATCTCATAAAATGTCTCAGTTTCAGGGTAGACCTGATGTAAATCAATCTCAGGTAAACCTGAGGAAATTATTAAAGGTCATATATACCAAGATCTGGGTTTGACAATGGGCATGTTTATAGTTTCGGATGATTAGAAATGGTAGGAACTATATAAAGTAATACTTTACACGTCTGTGTTAGGTAGAGTGCATTTAAGCACATCACAGTTTTTCTTTTCTCAGACAGAACCTCATTTTCTAAAATATGCTCCACCTAGAAAGCTTATTGCTCCATACACAATAAATGCTGTGGAATCCGATGACTACACAGCTTTCCAACTTCCTGTTGTCCTATATTCCTCATATCCTGTGTTGAACCCACACACACACACACACACACACACACAAGCTGTTCATGAACTCAGCTGAAACAACTCATACAGCATGAGATCCAGAATCCAGATCAATTTTGAGTTCCATACTAATGTTCATTGAATGTGACCAATTGACAAATGATGCTCAACAGCCACAGATGCCCACCCCACCCCCTCCCCTGACTCCAAAACACAGGTCCTCATTGTTTTCTTCACATCCAGCATTTACCAGTTCAGCCTTTGTCACAGTGTATTGTAGTCACCTGCATCCTTATCCATCCCTAGACAAGAATGTGAACTCCTTGAAGAGGCTGGAAAGGATTTTAGTCTTTCTGTTAGCCTCAGCTGCTAGCATACCACCTGGCACCCAGTGTTTGGTAAATTTTTTTTTGAATGAATAAATAAGCTCATTTCATTATAAGGGGATTGAGAGAGTAATTTCCACCAGCACTTTCAGGGAAAGGCTGGGTTGTCTGACACGTGTAGATGCATGTGGTGGAAGAGCTGGTCTTGTGTGTCTGAAACTGATTTAAGGCCTCTAGGAAGAGACAGATGTGTGGGCGTGCACACACACCTTCTCCAGAATCTTCCCAAATTAGTAGCTGAGGTGTCTGAACTTTCATCATTACAGTGTCATACCTTTGGATTACGTATGGTTCCCCATCAACATATCTTGAACCCATGTGCCCTTGTTATCACATTAGTTATCACATAAATTTCAAAACTCAATCCCCAGTATCTAATCTGTATTCTCAAATTGTGTTCCCCATGCCTCTGCTGAGAATCTCAGATAGATCCGTGATTCCTTTCTGCAGTTTGCATTAGAAAGAAATCTGATTATTTTTTAAAATATATAACTGTATATCAAATAAGCTCTTTTAAACCATATACACAATAATATTTGCAAGGAATTAAAATATATCAGTTTGGATAACTACACGACTTCATAATACTACTAAAAATAAAAACAAAACAGATTAGTCACCATTAGAATATCTAGTGAATTGACTCCTTGTGTTGAAAATTAGTAAACTGAAGGGACAGAATAAGCATTTGTTCTGCCTTTCCTTTATAACTGTACCACTGAGTAACCGAAATTTAGATAAGGGAGCAATTTATCTTCATAGAAATAGTCCAGCGAGTAAGTGAAGAAGAAATGATAGACTATCACCCCTATGACAGAATTAAAATGCAACTTCTAATGAATTAATGAATTTAGACATTGAGCACCAATGGAAGGCCACTGGATATTATGAACCTCCTGTGGAAGTATACGATACGAATGAAGTCTGATCACAGTTCTAGACCCAACAACCTATTCATAAGAAATACAGAGAACAGCAGAACACACTTAATAATGAAGTGTGAAGAAAAAGATGACATTTATGACATAATCAGAAATTTGAACACTGGAAATATGATATTAAATAATTATTGGGACTTTTTAGGTGGAATAATGACATTGTATGTTTAAAAAAAGAGCCCTTGTCTTTTAGAAATGCATACTAAAATATTGAGAGGCGAAATAATAAGATGTCTGAGATTTGCTTCAGAAATAATGCAGAGGGGAGTCAGGGGCAGTGGGTGGGTGTATATATGACACAAGATGGCCTTGAAGCTGAACAGTGGGTACATGGGAGTGCATTATACATTTTTGTCAACTTTTGTATATACTTCAATTTTCCAAAGAAAAAATACTTTCAATAACAAATTCAGTCAGTAACAACTTCCTGAATATTCTAGTATTGTTGTTTCCCTCTCCCACCCCTTGAAATCATTATCCTAGGGAGTCTCCTGGGAATTATTAATACCAGGGAAAAGTAATACTAATGCATTGACTTGTCCTTGCAAACTAATATGAAAGATTATTTCCTGGACTACCTTTACCCTGAAAATACTGAGTGCTGAAGGGTAAAGGTAAACACAAACCCTGGAGGAGGGGAAAGAAAGACTGGACTGTGGGGAGAAGAAAGGGAAGAACAAATTTGGCCTTCATGGTTTTTGCTGGGCAGTCACTTAGTTGGCGCATATTATCTTCTTTGTGTGGGTTTTACTAAGAGAACTTCCACTGGAGGCATGAAAATAATGTTTGAATTCCAGACTTCCAGGTTAAAACTTCACAAAGGATCCCCCTTTATGTTGTCAAAGGCTAAGATAAGTATTTTCAGGAGAGGAGGGATTCCTTTTCCATTGCTCAGTGAGCCAATAGTGATTAGGTAGGGCTAGGGTTTTGTGTGAACCTGGGAACAGTCTGGACCTGTCCACAGGACTGCAAGGATGTGGAAACCAGGAGTAAAGAGTCAAGTGCGCAGAGTATGACTTTTTATAGAATGGTTCTGTTAGAACACCAAGAAACAGTTTGCGTCTGGGGAGGGAAGCTGGGCACTTGGGGTAGGATGGGAGGAGGAAAATAGTACAACTTTATTGTTAGAGCCAGTGTATACTGTGGTTAGTGCCTTAAAACATATGATGACATTTTGCAAACAGCCTTTTGTTAACATAAGTGACTGTACCCTTTATCCTGAAATTAGACAGAAGACAGATGTCTGTTTGTTTATGGTTCCTTGGCTGGCCAGCTGCTGGCACCACCCACTGTTTGCATATTTTCTTGATCTGCCTTCCCCTGCGCTCCTTACCCAGAATCTAGCTCAGAGTAGTAGGTGGCCACTAAAACAAACAAGAATAGGATTTTAGCAGTTCTAGACCAACTTCTGCAGGTGTAACACAGTAAAGCTCAAATTTTCCCACAGAAGCACCCTTAATAGCAGAGTCATTTTTTTGATGGCTTGTTTTATCTTAACTATTCAGGGCAATTCTGCAGCCTATGATTTAGCCCTTTGTTTCTATAGAACATGGATTGTAAGTCATTATTAAGAAAAAAGTGTCCCTTTGTTTATCCCATGTTCTCAAGTAGTCCTGTGCACCTGTGCATGGCCCTGGAATACTGAGTCCAGTTTTGTTTGGGGCTTGTTCCTCTTTGTTGAGGTTATTTTTTAAATACATTAAAATTCACCTATTTCAAATGTACAGTTTGACTGATTTTGGTAATTGTATACCAGGTATAACCACCACCACCACCAAGATACAAAACAGTTATTCCACCTTAAAAAGCTTTTCCATCCCCCTCTATCCAAGTTCAGTTTTGCAACACTTGACTGAATTCTACAACTTTCTCTATTATCAACTCTCTGGATGATTTTAGGAAAGTCACTTTACCTCTCAGGATGTATGTTTGTTCTTGTAACACGAAGAATGGAGGAACAGGTTTGTTTCTGGGGGCTCTTCCAATACTTTGAGAAAACAGGGTTGGGTGAGGACTGGAATCAGCTTTGCTGTCTCCAATCTTGACACGGCACATGCATGTGGCAGATCCTAATGGATAAAAGCTTGTGGTCGCATCACATGACAGGTTTCCACCTCCTCTCTTGCCAGAGTGCCACGTTTTCTGAGCATTAGCTTCCTCATCTGCAATATCAGGTTCATTAATAAGACCTATTTCTGTACTGTTGTGAGGATGAAGTGAGATGTGCCCGCACCCTTCAGTGCGGATCGGTATTTTTGTTATGGTCTAACATAAAGCCGCTCTGCATTCAAACATCACCGCTGCTACACGTTTACGCAGGAGGATTCCCACCACCGAAACAGAAGCACAAGCACCGTCTAGGACTCAGAACAAACGGGCCTGCGTGCATGTGCTTCCATGGAGCCTCGCTAGGGGGCGGAATCGGGTCCAGAAAGTTCTGACGTCTGTCTTACGAGCGCGGCGTAAAGCGGATCCACTTTACGGCAATCTGCTTCCGCCGTAAAGCGCGTCGGCCAGCCCGCGTTTGACAGAGTAACTTCCCGGTGGAAACCAGGCTCCCGAAGGTAGACGAACCCCACGTTTTCGCCATGGGCAAACGCAGGAGCCGGGGCCAGAGCCAGTTGCTCAGCGCCCTGACTAAGAAGCAAAAGAAGCACCTTCGGGATTTCGGCGAGGAGCACCCCTTCTATGACAGGCACGGAGGGGCACGGCCGGGCGGGCGTTGCCCGCGTCTTCCCCAGCGGGAGCCCTTGTTTCCCGGGGTCGGGCCGCCGATCTCCCCGGGGATAGGGCCGGCGCCGCTCCGCCGGTCCCCGGGCGTCACGGGCTTTTCCCGTGCTGCGGGTGGGGCCCGGCGGGGGCTCGGCCGCGGAGGATTCTGGGGGCATCCCGCCCAGGCGGGGTTCTCCGCGGCTCTTCTACCTTTTGGGGAGCCCGTTACTTTATGCTAGACCACACGCCCCCATCTGCGGGCTGGTGTTTGTATGGTCACAGGTTTTCTAAGACTGGTTTTGTTTTTTGTGTTTTTTAAAGCATTACTTGGGACTTTCGACGTCACTGATCTGTCCACTTTACAGTGAGGAAAGTGATGTATCGGTCGTTGTGGGTTTCCCTTGTTAGTGTCCAGAGTTTCAGTTATGATCTTAATGCTCATCCCACCACTTTGGGCCGCTTTATCAGCAGTAAGAGGGACAATCTAATAAAGAAAGGTGAACCCCGAGGTCTTTTATTTGCCAGGTTTGTTCATCTTTTGGATGAGAGCCAATTACCGTGTAACTCTAGTATTTGTCCCATGGCTCATTAAACTTGTCATTTGTCAATTATTCTCTGTCATATTCTTACATTCTCTGTCCAAGTGCATATGTACTTTTTCATGGCTTTAGTTGCAATGTATTTATAATGGCATTTTTTTCCTATTTCACTTAAAGTTGTATCAGACTTTTTTTAATTGCCACATACTAGTACTTAGAGTTTAACATCTTTTCTTCTCAGGGTTTCCAGAAAGGAAGCAAAACCACAGATGTGTCAACTGGTAATGTTTTATACCTTCACTATAATAGTTTGTTCTGGGTTGTTACTTTAAGGAGTATATATAATAATAAAGTTTGTTTACATTTCCACTCTAAGATTTTAAATGTAAGGTACCGTAAAATTGTTTAGCATTGCATGCAGATGTCTGTTAAAATGTTACTGTGAAAACTAATACCATTACCAGAGTTTGACATGAGTTTGGCTTATTAGAACTAGTTAAAGACGCTTACCAGAGGGCCCTCATTGAGTCCGAAGAGGGAGTATCTTGCCTGCTTAACATAAAAGGGGCTACAAATGAAGTGCAAAGTGAACAAAGGTTCTTGCTCATTACAGAAACTCAAACAACATTCTTTTGTTGTACTGTAATTTTTCTGTTACTCCTGTAAACATGACGAATGTCTGACACGTAGATTAGAACTGTTTACAACCTGAAGCTCTATGCTTTCAGTTAGCTTTCTTCTCACGTGGAACATTAACAGTTCCAAGAATATGAGGAACTTCTGGAATCAGGGCTAGATCCGCTGTTTCCAGTAAATTTGGTGCTGGGCTTGTTTGACTAGATAGGACTGCGTATTTGTAGAAAAGCTAATTTTTATTTAGGAAAGCCTGTACCTGTTAATGCTGTAGGCCTGATGATGACAAGACCAATATCATTTCTGTATTTAAATTCTCCTTTTCCTTTTAGTCAGAGAGTTCAGATACTTCACGTTCCGAAAGCGAAGGAGAGAGTGAACCAGAACGGGTTTCTGGGTACCACAGACTACTCGCCACGTTAAAGAATGTTTCCGAGGAAGCGGAAGCGGAGGAGGAGAGTGTTGCAGATGAGGCCGAAGGGAGTGATGAAGATGATGGTAGCGGGGCTGGTGTGGAGGAAGAGACAGCCGCAGAGTCCACTGCAGTGCAGGAGAGTAAGTGCCTTTGGTGTGGATTCATCATCTTAGCCACAACCACAGATTGCCCCGCAGGCACAGTGTCTGATAGGCATGATGCCCTGTACTTTGTGGGTTCACTGAAAGCACATGGGCCCTAAGCAGAGATGCTTAACCTTGTTGGGCTGGGTGATACCTTTGAGAATTGGATGAAAACACAGGACCCTCTCACCAGAAAAATTGAGAAATAGCATTTTTGCATATGATTTCTAGGTCCTCGGCTGTCCTAGTTAAATTTTCCCTGATTCAGAGGAAAGAGAACATAATTCTGTTTCTGTGATGGTCTCAATTGATTAAAGAGATTACTGTTCTTCCCTTAGAGAAACCAAGTTGAATGTAATAAAGACATTAAGACATACAAAAATTTTCAAGTGGCAGATTTGTTTGAACAGCTAGATACAAGGAGTTGAAGAGAGGCCATGTGGTCGCCTGCTGGCGGGGTAACGGAGGGAAGGCTTCAGGGAAATGTTGAGGTTGAAAGCTTAAAGGAACTCTACCTCACTCAGACATCCAGGTGACTTTTTCTTTAACTTTAAAATCAAGTTTATTGAGATATGATTTCCATACAATATAAAGTGTTCCCTTAAGTATATAATTCAATGAGTTTTGACTAATGTATATATCTATGTTATTACCAGCGAAATCATGGTACAGAATATTTCCAGTGCCTTCGAAAATTTCTTCTTACCCTTTCACCCCAGCCCCGCCAGTCAGGCGGCTACTGATCTGTTTTCTTTCACTATAGATTAGTTTTGCCTGATCTAGAAATTCATCTAAATGGAAGTACACGGTCTGTACCCCTTTGTGTCTGTCTTCCTTGACTCCTCATGTTTTTGTGATTCAACCGTGCTGTGCATGTGTTAGTAATTATTGCTTTTAGTTGCTGGAGTAATACTCCCTTGTCAGTATATCTGGGTAGCGCTTGATTCCTCACTATCCTAACACCTATTTTCCCTACAGCTATGTTTTTCTCTCTGGGGTATCGCACACCATTCATAGTATTCTAATTCATCAGTTTTACTGGGGTAAAAGTTCCTCTACTCAGACTAGGGTGTTTTGTTTTCTATTTTTCTTTCCTGTTTTGGATTTTTAAACATGAAGTTTGTTTTCTTAATTAGAAAAGTAAAATGTATTTACTGTAAAAATTTGCAAGGGTAGTATAGTTAACCACTCTCTCCACTACCTTGAGATGAATACCTTTAACATTCACTATACCTTCCAGATGACCTTTTTAGGGATAGATGTGTGAATAGGAATATATATATATATATATGTGTTTGTGTGTTTGTGTATAATGGTCCCCCATACTCCTATAACTTACTTTTTTTCTTTAATAATATATCATGGACCTTCTCCCATGTGTGTAATTGTGGCTTCACATTAGCTTCTTAATTAGTTCTCCATTATAAGTAATATGAGGTAATTTAATTAGCACCACATTGATAGAAAATGAAATCATTTTTCCAGTTATTTCTTATAATAATTAGTTTTGCTTTGAACATCCGTATATGTACATTTTAGTGTACTTTGTAGTGATCATCTTTTAGAGTAAGTTCCTAGAGATAGAACTGGGTCAACAGTCAGGGATAACTTTGAAACTTACGTCTTCAACTGAATTTGATTGAAAGTAAACAATGGCAGTGACCATCAGTGTTGATATAGGCTGAGGAATTAGATGTTATTTGTCAACAGAAGTATAATTATATTTACGAGTAACTAATTTCACAAAATGTTTCTCAAAATTGCAGGTATGGCCTTACCTGCTGACCTTGAGGAAAAAGATGGGGACAGGCCAGCTGGCACATCACAGAAAGCCTCTGAGGAGTTTACAGATGCAAAACACGAGTCACTCTTTAGTCTGGAAACTAATTTTCTTGAAGAGGAAAGTGGAGGCAACTGTTCTCTGAAAACATCACAAGGTCAGAGCACAGTGTGGTGTTTGGATTCACCAGGTGCTTAGGATACACGTTACCTCTCCTATTACTGGGATGAGCAGCATTAAAAACAAGAGTTTAGCAGCTAGATCTGAAGCTGTGAAGAAATACTTCCCAAAGGTGTTTTGTGTGTTTTGATTGTTAGCAGTGTTGGGAGCTGTCCAGGAGGACAAACAGCTTAAGAATGGTAGCAGGGAGGGCTAGTTCCCTGGACCTCACATGTCCATAACCGGCGTCAGGGGAAGATTTCCGATTTTCTCCCCAGGCAGGGAAGGAAGAGAAAGAGGAGAAAAATACTTGGCACTTTTCTCTCTACCCTTCTTGCTCTTCCTTATTGGAGCAGTAATTATTTTTCCAGATTGTGAGACCCGGAGTGGCTAATCTGATTGGTCCTTATTACCAAGCACCTCAGAAACCAGCAGGCTCCAGCCTGTCTCCCTAATCATCTCAGCCTCTTGGCCATGCTGCTGTGTACACGGCAGACACTTGGGGTAAGGCCTGCCTACGATGGCTTCAGCAGGTCTCTGCTCTCTACCTGAGATCCAGTTTCTCAGCCTGTGCCTGGGTGGGCAAGTCAGGCTGGTCTTGTTCTATGTCCTAAATGCCTTTTTTGGTCCTAGTGCCATTCTTCAGCCCAGCTGAAGCTTAAATTTAATTCTCATTTGGTTCTGTTGGCTTTTGTGCCACCAAGTAAGAAATAGGAGTTAGAATTTGAGCACAAACCCCATTCTCCACCATCAAAACTTAAAAATCCTGGAGAAAACATTAGGAAGCTTGACTATCCTAAAATTTCTCTGCTGATTTTTCCTATACAGATACATTAGCACCTAGAATTCATATGTCCTGTTGTTCACTCTTAGGTATTTAGTATAAGGTTCATTGCATTTGAAGTTTTACCATTTGTTTCCCTGATTAAGTCATTTAACTTTTCTCTGCTTCATAATGAGTAGGACTGGAAGAGAAGGTTGGGTGGCCAGCTCAGAGCACTGAACTCAGTGTTTTTTGTTTAATTTTGTTCAACTTAGTTGACTATTGAGCATTTCTATGTGCCCTGCCATGCAAGAAAAGTCAGACGTGGAGCCTGCCATCAGGGATCTTATGATCTAGCACATGAGATAAGACATGCACATATATGTGTTGAGGTTGGTGAGAGGGGGCAGGCTGGGGACCTGTCTGCAGGTCACTAGGGGTGACCCCTTAGTGGAGCCAGCACTGTGTGTACTCCAGGGAAATACTGTGAGTTGAGAATAACATTAAACTAATATTCGGATAAACAAACATGAGGTGAAGGGGAGGATAGAATTTTTAATTGAAGGAAAGCCACAGAGGCAGAAGAATTTGAAGGCTGTATAATTAAAAAATTACACTGGAGAGGTCAGTTCGAGGTGCATCCTGTAGTGCCCCAGATTTCAGATTGAGAAGTTTCTTCAACGTTTTTGAGCTGGGAAGTAATGTGATTAGAGAAATACTTTAGGGAGAGGAGTCTGTGAGAAAGTTTTAAGCTCTGGACTGGGGGAGAGGATGGGGAAAGAAGGGGGGAAAAGGATGAGCGAACATCTGGAGAAGAGCAGTCGTTCACAGGGGAGACCAGAAAATGTCTGCTGTTTTCTGCAAGTGTTCTTATGTTCTTTATTCTGCCTTAGATCCATTTCTACAACATGTGAACAAAGAACTGAAAGAAAAAGAAATTCAGGCTGTTGACACAAATCCCCAGAATACCCACCAACTAAAAGTACGTGTTTCTCGGTCATCTTTTCACAAATGGACAAAAGCTCTAAGTAAAGCGATGGTCTTGGAGTTTAGCAGTTCTCTCCAAATATATGGTCTCCCCGCCTATATGATACACACCTGTTGTTTCTGGCTTGCTAGGGGAGCAGGACCTAGGAAGCCTGTGAGAGCCTGACACGGTTTAGCTAGAAAAGGCTCTGGGAAGCTGGAGTGTGGGAGCGTGCTGAGGTGGGAGTGGCTTTAGAGACAGGTATTCCAGGGTTCAGGCCAGCATCACATGAACTAAAGCAAGTTAATCTACCTTTATGCTCCTCACTGTTCTCTGTTAGAGGGCGCAGTAATGCCTCTCCTAAAATAAAGTAATTTAGCTTACTTATACATAGAAGTGTTCAGGACAACAGTAGCTACTGCTGTCATTCATTTATCTAAATTATCTGAGATAGGTTCACAGCTAAATTACTCAGATGTGGAACAGTTTTTTGCTTTGTTTATTTTGTTTTTGTTTTTCGCCAACTGATGCTGTTCAGGAGAGTTGTCTTTTTTTTTTAAGTGGTGATTTTTTATTTTTTATTTTTTATTAAGGTATGATTGATATACACTCTTATGAAGGTTTCACATGAAAAAACAATGTGGTTACTACATTTACCCATATTGTCAAGTCCCCACCCACGCCCCAGTGCAGGCACTGTCCATCAGTGTAGTAAGAATTTGTCATCCTTTTTTAAAGGAAATTTTAATGGTGTTGATAATTATAAATGCAGTTATAAGAAATAATACAAAGATCTCTTATGCCTTTTGCCCACTTTCCCCCAATGGTAACATCTTGCAAAACTATAGTATACCATACCCAAGAAATGGATGTAGATGCAGTCTACCTGTCTCAGATTTCCCCCGTTTTGCGCCTACTCAATTGTGTTTGTTTAGTTCTACACAGTTTTTGTCATGTGTAGGCTTTAGCTATCACCTACATGTAGGTGACATGTAGGTTCACCACCATAGTCAAGATGCAGAACATTTCCAGCCCCATAAAGATCCCGCCTGACTCCCCTTGCCCTTTTCTAATGACACCCACTTCCCCTCCCCCATTCCTAGTCCTTGGTAACCACGAATCTGTTACTTTATTTCTGTAATTTTATCATTTCAAAAGTGTTATATAGAAAGAATCATAACAAAATGGCTTTTCTCAGTTGGTATCATTCCATGGAGATCGAACAGTTATCAGCATCTGTTCATAGCTCATTCTTTATGGCTGAGGTCTCTTTTTTCTGCTGAGATCAGCACTTTTGTTACTGTGCAAGACTTCCCAAACTGGTATCCCATGAATGGTATTCTTAGGATTCTAATAAGTAGGTTAATAAATAAGTAAATTGTTCTGTGCCCAAATAAGTTTGGAAAACTCCAGGTTAAATAAAGTGAAACAGAGTTCTTATCATAGGACTGGTCGGAACCTTTAGTACCTAATATGCATTGTGATTCTCCCTGAGGGGAATTAGGTTTTGGGGTAATTACCAAAGTTATTTGACCATGAAGCCCCATTTTTTTCCCCTAGAATGAATTTTGCCTTCCCCAGAATGTAGTCCCTAGAACAGTCTGGGACACTGACATAGTGGAGAGTTTAGATTTGAAGTCAGAAGCCTTGGGCTCTCCTCTCTGTTCTCTCCTGGGTTAAGTTTGTCTGAATCCCATAACCTCTCTGAACCTTATCATTTCCAAAACTATAAGAATATTATAGTATCTGCCTTGCAGGGTGGTTGTGAGGATTAAATGAAATGATCTATAAATGGTAAGAGATTTTGTTAAATTAAAAACTACTATGTAAATGTAAGCTATTACAGTTCACTTCTGACTTAGCCCTTGATGTGTCTTTCCCCTAGTGGCTCATTCTGGGCCAACTTGTCTTTTCATCCAAGTTTCAGAAGTTGGAAACATTTAAACCCCCAAAGGACATTGACTTAAAGTCACTTCATCTCCAGAAGCCTCTGGAATCCACCTGGACGAAGATCAACAGCCAGTTCCTCTCTGGTCCCCAAAAATCAAGTTGCCCCTTCACACCCCTCCAGAAAGAGCTCTTCTTAATTATGAATTCCTACCGGGACCTGTTCTACCCAGAAAGGACTGCCCTGAAGAACGGGGAAGAGATCCGCCGTGTGTACTGCCTGCATGTGATAAATCATGTCCTCAAAGCCAATGCCCAGGTGCTCGGCAACAATAGTAGACGCCGAAGCCAGAAACTTGGAGTGGGTGACGACGATGACTTCAGGGACCAAGGGCTGACACGGCCCAAGGTGAGTGACAGCAGGAAAGCTTTTCCCTTGGGAAGGAGGCTGCAGAGCATGGCCGTGTAGGTGAGTAGCGCTTAGTTGCTCAGGCCTTTTAGTGGTTGGAATAACGAATGAGTCCAGGAATGAGAATGTCAGATGGCCAGGTAACGTCAGAGTGCTGCTGCAGACGGTGCAGTGGGCTGTTCCTAACAGTGGCTCTGATCGGAAACTTGTGAGTAGGAGGTACTTCCATGATAATTCTCCTTGAAGATAAGCCCTGAACATACATAAGTAAGACTCCATCCTATGTCTCTTCTTTATTTATCATTGTCAAACTGGTTGCTACCTTAATAAGCCTTTTATCCAGTCCCTACATATTATAGTTGTGGACAGAGCCCTGGATTGTAGAGGGCTTTGCTAAAGAGAACCAGGGGAAGAGTAGCAGAGGTGGGACTGGAACCAGCATTCCCTTCATTAAGCCTTATAAATATGCACACTTTGGAAAAACAAAAATTTCTATTTTTCCATCTAGTTATTGCTACTTAAAATGATGATTATATTTATTTAGGCTCATAAGCCTAAGTTCCCCGGGATTTGGGGCTTGATAGAAAATGTCTTTTACTTCTGTCTATAATTCTCATGATGTTATGGAGCTAGATCTTGTGTCATCCGTCCGCCCTCACCAAGCCCCTTAGCCTGTACCCCTCCATATTGAAGAAGCCTCATCGTTAGGTTGTTCTTACTGACTTTCATAGGTTTCTAGGGTTTTAATAATGCTGTGGCTCTAAGAGATTTCTTAGTCCAATTCCTTTGTTTGATAGCCAAGGAAACTGAATCCTAGATACTTGCTTAGTGTCACAGCTGGAGCAGTAATTGGCCCTCTGCTCTCGGGCCATTGTCCCTGCGCTGTACCAGGCTGAATTACTGCACCCTCCTGGCTGTGCTGGCTGCCTTTCTGGGAAACTACCGCAAAGCCTGGAGCATCAGAATTACAGGATATCTGTTTCCATTTAGAATTGTGGAAAAGAGTGAGAGGCGGATTGCCCATGAAGCGCACTAAGAATTTGGTGAATTGTCTGATCTGACTGGGGTCATTCCCATTGTTTTATTGTTTACAGAAGGATAGTTATAAATTAATCATTTATCAAGCATCTTCTTTGTTCTCAATTTTAAGCATTTTTGGAAATGTTTGGAAAATTCAGTCCTATGTTTCTCATTGAAATATCTTACTTCAGAAATGCTTTATCATCATTTCTGAGAAATGTACAAGGGATCATACCAGAAAAGTAGCAATGCCTTAATCCTTTTCCTTACTCATCGGCTTTATTTGTTTTCTACATATTTTCTATGTCTATTTACCTAGCATGTATTTATTCCTTGGGTCTCATAGATAAAAATACTGTACTCAGTTCTGTGGGAAACAGATACTAGTAACATCCTTTGCCCTCAAAGAGCTTGTGTGTTTATATCCTTGGGTTTTTGCTAGTGGACGCCTCCATTGAAGGCATGACTTACTCTAAAAGGTATTTCCCAATTCTGTTTGAAAATTGCCTCCTGGGGAGCCATGAGATTAAAGTCCACAGGACGTAGTGCTGTGCATGTAAGAGGTGCTCGGCTTCTAGTACTGAGTCAGGCCCTAGTACTGAGTGAAAAGTGGGGATGTGGACGTGGGCCCTAGCCTGGGACCACTGCCCTCCGGAGGGCTTTTAAGCTGCACATCCTTCGCAGGCTCCCTCGAGCTGCCGTTCTTCCCCTTGCCCCGCTAAGGCTGCTGTCACCCCCCACAGGTGCTGATAGTGGTGCCCTTCCGGGAGGCTGCCTTGCGGGTGGTGCAGCTCTTCATCAGCCTCCTCGAGGGCGACAGCAAGAAGAAAATAATTGTGAGCAACAAAAAGAGGTTTCAGGGAGAGTATGGCTCAGATCCCACGGAGAGACCACCCAATCTGAAGAGGCCGGAGGATTACGAAGCTGTGTTTGCTGGCAACATCGACGACCACTTTAGGATTGGTAACTTCCCTGTCAAAGCTGAGACCTTGAGAGACCAGCCGTGTGAGGTGCACATATCTGGAGGCTGGAAATCAAGAACTGGGTGTTCTGTCGTGGATCACCGACTCGGCCTCCTAACAGGACTAGGATTTGAGACGTCCTGTCTGCCAGGGGACAGAATCTTGCCTTGGCTAATAGGGTGGACACTCAGCCAAGGGTGGGGTGTCTGAAGCCACATGTAAAAGGCACATGCACACTTAAAATTCAGGGGTCTCAGCATACCCATGGCTGGTAGCCATAGTCAGTGCTGCCGGGGTTCTTGGGGGAGTTGGGAGTGACAAGCTGAATGGGTCAGTCTGGGGGTGCTGAATAAACTGAGTGCATAATGGCAGACTTCCCTCCTGCATGCCATGTAGAGTGCACACCCCTGAGTTGCCTCCACTCAGGACTTGACCAACTCCCACCCAATTTCTCATGTTTTTTGTCTCTCATTCAAGTCCCATGTACTTGGTTGGTTATACATTGATAGAGTAAAGTTCTTGGGAAAATGTTCATTAGTCATATATGCTTCTTCAGTAAGCATTTATTAAGCATCTGCTGTGCACCAGGCACTGCTAAGAAGCTGGGAATATAGAAGTAAGATTAATGGTTCCAGCTGTCAAGAAAGGCCAGCCTAATGGGGCAACAGACAATACAGTATGCTAAGTGTTCTGATCAG